TTTCCCGATAACCATAGTCTACAAAAACCACATCAACCTCATTTGAGGATACTTGCTGCACAACAGTTGCTCTATACCACTTCCCATCTTTGGGATATTTAACAACACAGGCAACCTGTCCAGTTTTATAAGGACTAGTATGCTCTTTATAGTAAGTCTGAATTTGTTCCATTAAGTTATTTAGCTCTGGCAGTTTACTTTGCAACTGACATGAAAAATCTGCTGGGGAAACAATGTAAGAACACACTATATTGGAAACAGTTCCTGGTTTAAACACAAACTCTTTATAAAGTATTTTTTTCTCACATACTGATCTACACCTATTAGAGGCAGCACCTTTTCCAAAACAGGATAGTACAATGGATTCTCTCGGCAGTGAAGGCACACTTAATGATTTTTCCTTCTGAAATGCCTCTCTATTTCCAGATATCTTATTTTTATTAGTATTACAGATTCTCTGTGCATCTACTTTTTTTTTTTTAAATTTGTGGGGATTCAGGGCTTGTCTTTTTTTTGCCAACTTCAGGGCAGAATCTGGTGTCTTTTCCCAGTACTCAGCAAATCCAGCTTGAACCATAAGTGTGGCAACATTTCCTTGCTCCAAACTATTCTTATACTTCATGTTAACAATGTATTTGTTGTTTTGCTTTCCAATGACAAAAAGCAGGAGTGGTCTGTTAAATACAATGCCCTTGAAGAAATCAGTTTCCCTTTTAACCCACACATCATCTACAGGGTACGTACAAGCAAGCTCACAACACACAGCTAAAGCTGGTATATCAGAAAACTCAGGAAGCAATGTTTTTACATCATAACATGGTACTGTATCTGTATTTCCAGAGTCCAAAAAATGAACAGTAATATTTTTATGAAGCACTTCAATGACAACACCCCGATAATAATGCATGTCTTTGCTACAACGAGCACAGCACAGCAATCCAGGTTCTGGGTTTTTAAGGACCATTTCATCAGCTCCACATCGGTTATATACACCTGCAATATTTTTCATCAAGGCTTGAAATTCATTCCAATATTCACACATTTGAATCCAGAAGTCAGATGGATTTATGACATATACCACAAAAACAGTATGGAAAGAATTAATTTTCATTTCTGCTCTTTTGTAATGCCTTGACAAAGAAATATCCCATTCAGGTAAGCAGTTTTTTGTGCGTATATTTCCAGTACAATTTTTAAATGAACTGTATCTCTCATCACAAGGCTTGTAGTTCATAGCAATACTTGTTATATTCATTTCTGAAGGTGAGATACATGATGCAGCTGCCTCATTCAGGTTTTCTGGATGTTTAGCATCAATTCCAAGATTTTGATCTTGCAGTGTAACGTAATACAAGCGTTTAGCGTCATTGATTAAATCAACATGGACACACACAGAAGTTTGCCTTATCAAGGCCTGTATAAATTCTTTCAGCTGAATTTTTATTACTGTTTCATCCTGACTACCACAACAAGATAGTGCACATGGAAATGAAACCATCGGTAATGTCATGAACTCTACTGCAAGTTTCTGAACGCAACTAGATGGCACAGCTTCAGTGTTGCCAAAATCCATAAACCAGACTTCCACAGAGTTGGAGAGAAGCTTTTTTATCACTCCTCTATGCCACTGTCCATTTTGCCTTTTGGCAGCACAGAGTACCCCTACACTATCAAAAGATTTACTATTTTCTGTACTGCTAGCTTCATAGTATAAATGCATAGCTCCTGTCAAATCTTTCAGCTCTTTCTGCAATCTCTGCATCTGACAGTAAAATTTATTTGGGTTTACTGCAACAGTTATTTTTACATTTTCTTTACTGCCAACAGCTAGACGTGGAAAGAGATCATCTGGAACTGGCCCAAAATCTGTTGGTCTCTCAGAATTACTGAAAGTAAGCAACTCTTTAACTGGATGCTTCTGTTGCAACAATTGCGGCACTCTCTTACAAAGCATTTCTTGTGGAAACGCTCTTAATGTTTCTACAATAAGACAAAATGAATCTCCATCAACAAATTTTCCTAACTGCAGATCAAGAACATCATGAATGATCTTCGGTACTTCTAGAATTAACAGCTGGTATGGTATAACAGCTTTCACATGACCCCTAATCTGCAGTCCCACCAAAGATGAAAAATAGTTCATGGCTTTTGAACCCCATTTTTCACCAAGTGGAAGTATGCTTGCAAAAACACCCAAAACCACCTTTGGAGGCAGCTGAAACAATTCATCACAAGCAGAAGCAAGATGTGTTTCCTCAACCACCAGCACCTGTCCAGTGTCTATAAGAAAAGCTTCACAGACATCCCCTCTCTTTTCCAGAACTCTTCCTCTATGCCATTTTCCTTGCGTGTCTTCCACCAAACAACATCCACCAACGCGAACATTGTCTTTTCCTTTGAATACACGCTGTATTTCATTTTGTAGTATGTAATAGTCAAGCTCACATCCTGACTTGTATTGACCCTGGAACACTATAATCAAGTTTTCAGTATGGCATTCTACATGAGTTATCTTCAGATTCACATCTACTGTGTTTGGTGAGGGAGTTAGAGATTCCATTCTGTCTGCAAAGAAAAGGAGTAAGATCAGCCTGATAATTTTCTGTATTTTTTCTTTGTCAACTAATTCCTTACACGAAATCTGTTCTCAAAATGCTTTGATAGTATATTGCTACACTTCTGGTTAAAAACATATACTAAACATTTAACAATGTCATGTTCTATGCAACTAGGATACATTCTACAGCTATCTTTGTAAAGCTATGTTCAGACAACTTCTGAAAATAAGTACCTCTGGACTTGCTCTAGTGGATAGGTTAATTTTATCACTTGATAATAATTCATAATCAGAAAGCTGTTGTCTGAATAACACACAATTAAAAAACATATCAGAAAATTGGGGGGGGAACACAGACATGCACATGCAGGGACATGGAACAGGACAGACAACCAGGAAGATAATTATTTCTTCTCAAAGAAAAGTATTTCTGCTCAAAGAAAAGAGTGGAAGGAAAGCAACTAATGTCATTTATACAATCTCTGCTCATCTCACAAATGTTACATTCAGTAAATTTAACTGCAAATCTCTCCAAAGGAAATCCAATTCAGTGTTTCATTGCACTGGATTTGTAGTTACAGTTCAGCAACAAAAGTAGTTCCAGTCTGCTTCTCTCTTTCTGTTGACATGTGAATGACCAAGGACTCCTCCCCTACTCATCCTGCTTCTTTTTTTCTTGAGTAAATAACTTCTTCAACATTTTATAGCTCTCTGTTTTACTGTTTATCTACACATTATCGGATACAGCTGTAGCATATTTTAAGTTTTCATAGTTGCAAGGGCATAGAGTACACATTATCTATGTTCAACACTTCTAAGCTGTTCATCAAATAACAGTTGTGTCAGGTGTGTTTTGTACTGTCTCACCACTCCAATTCTGACATTTTAAGTATCTTCAAACACTTTGGTTACTTCTCTGACCTTCATCTATAGTATGGTCTTTAAAGACCAGCTTCCAGTTTCATTCAAATTTGTCACTGAATCTGTGATTTCACATTGTTCAAACAGGCTGTGCATGCCTATCATTTAAACAAGCAATTCTATTAAATAAACTGCTGTTTTAACAAAATAATTAAGGTGCAGACAACATCTGTAAAATGCAAAGACAGTACATGACCACACAAGGATAGGCTGGACAAAGTATAAGCTTGATTTATGAATCCTGAAACTTTCATTTTCATGTTTTTACCACAAGCATACATGAAGCTGCTAATGACCACACAGTCTGTCTTCAGGCTAAATACCAATTCCTACCACTCCAGCCTCACAAAAAAAAAAAAAAACAAAAAAAAAAACCAACGAACAAAACAAGCTGAAAAAACATGCTTCTCAAAATGAACCCCAAACAAGCAAAAAACCAAAACCCCAAATCAACCAAAACCCACCAGCCATTCAAAGACACCTACCAGTAAAAGCAGTACTAAATAGAGAATTGATAAACACCTTCTTAAACAAGCCCCTCTGTTTTTTGCTCATCCTTGTAATCAAATAGAAAGCTAAAATCTGGGGGTTTTTTTTAAATGAAAGAAAACAGCCTTCAAGAAAACATTCTGTCTGCCTGGAAGAAACACCTGATCATTAAAGAGAACCAGACTTTTGGAGGTGCATCACTGATGCTTTGGGCACACCTTCCCCCCCACCCCCTGAAACAAACTCCTGGCTGCAGAAACACATAACATATGAAAACAATTTGTGCATCAACATTGGCTTGTCTATTGTCATAGGCCAAATAACAGCATCATATTTATACAGTCACATTTCTACAGTTTACAAAATGACCTTTTGTTTTTTACTCACCTACATACAAGTTAAGACTTCATCATTCAGAACACATCTTTAGAAACCACAGCCCTCTTATTAAGAGTTCTATATCTCCCTACAAGGAAAGATAATAGAAAACCCATTAGAAAAACATATGAAAACTCATTTCTTGTGCTACTTCTCTAAATCCTCCTCCTGCCCAAAAAACACAGCCTGGAAGAGCTCCTCATGCCCAGTTTAATTACAATGTTAAGATATAAAACAAACAAACAAAATCCCAAACAGTTACAAAACTGAATTCACCTTCCTAAAATGATGGTAGGATCATTCCTTCTTTACTGCAGTTAAAAACCACACCAGTCAAGAGACCACTACACAGATAATCTACCACTTACTTCCTAAGCAAGAGCAGTCATACATTTACTTTTGTTTACAACGCATTAGCCATCAGAATCTATTATCATGCACCACTACCATACAAACCTATAGTGTAATAAAAGAGCTTTTAAATGCAACCAAACAAGAGACAGCTTAAGGTATGTGCGCTGCCCTCCAGAGCCGCGGCTCTGATCAGGGCCACTTGACGCCTCAGGCAGTGCTCGCCCGAAAGCAGCGGAGCACAGAGCCGGG